ATGAGAAGTAAAAGAAATATGATAAACAGACCAAAAAGAAGAGAAATAAAAAAAAGAGATGAAAGGAGAAATACAAAGAAACATGATGAGAAAGATGAGGAAGAAGACTAAAGAGAGAAGGAAGATTGATGACGAGAAAATGAAAGAATAATAAAAAAAAGGATACGAAAGAAATAGAAAACAGAACTAAAAAGATAAGAAAATACGTAACCAGATAAGTAAATGAATAAATAAAAAATAAATAAAAATAAATAAATAAAATAAAAACAGGCAAACAATAAGAAATTGTAGATTAAGATTAAGAATAATAATAAAAAAAAAATGAAGATCAGAAATCAAAAATACAACTAGAAAGCAAAGAAAAAACAACAAGACCAAAAAAAAAGGAAAACAAAAAGAAGGGATGAAAGGAAGACGAAGAGGAAACGCAGAGGAGAAGGAAACATAGGCAAAAAGAAGATAAACGAAGAGGAGATAAAGAGGAAACGCCAAGGAGAAAGGAACCTCAGGGACAGGAAGAAACCAAACGAAAGAGAGAAAGAGAAACGCCGAGAAGAGAGGATCCACAGAGACAGGAAGACAAACGAAAGAGAGAGAAAGAGAAAACGCCGATAAGATGGGAACCACAGAATCAAAAATAGAATCCAAACGAAAGAGAGACAAGGAGAAACGCCAAGGAGAAACAACAAACCACAGAGACAGGAAAAAAGACAACCGAAAGAGAGAGAAAGAGAAACACCAGGGAGAAGGAAACCACAGAGACATGGAGAAGACACACGAAGGGGAGAAACGAAAGAGAGACAAAGAGAAACGCCAAGGAGAGACAAAACCACAGAGACAGGAAAAAAGACAAACGAAAGAGAGAGAAAGAAAAAACACCAAGGAGAAGGGAACCACAGAGAAAGGAAGACACACGAAGGAAGGGAACCACAGAGACAGGAAGACAAACGAAAGAGAGAGAAAGAGAAAACGCCGATAAGATGGGAACCACAGAATCAAAAATAGAAGCCAAACGAAAGAGAGACAAAGAGAAACGCCAAGGAGAAACAACAAACCACAGAGACAGGAAAAAAGACAACCGAAAGAGAGAGAAAGAGAAATACCAAGTAGAAGGGAACCGCAGAGAAAGGAAGACACACGAAAGGGAGAAACGAAAGAGAGAGACAAAGAGAAAACGACGAAGAAAAGAGAAGGAACCACAGAGACAGGAAGAAGACACACGAAAGGGAGAAACGAAAGAGAGAGACAAAGAGAAAACGACGAAGAGGAGAGAAAGAACCACAGAGCAATATCCGATGGCAACCGAAGTGCCAGTCTTGTCGCCGATGAGACGCGTTGCCATTGTCGCTTTGCAATATCCTTGGTTGGTGTTGCTTGCATTGTTTCCTTTGCAGTTGCACAGAGGATGTCGCGCGGAAATTTTGATGATACTGGCCTATTGCACGGCAAAGGGGGTGGGGGGGAGGGGAGGGGAGGGGGGGTTATGCCTTTTTTTTACTGTTTGTTTGTGTAGTGGTGATAAGGGTGATAATGATAATAATATTAATGATAATGACAGTGATAGTAATAATGATAATAATTATACTACTACTGCTACTATTACTAGTAATAATAATAATAATGATAATAATAATAATGGCAATAATAATAATAATAATAATAATTATGATAATAATAACAATTATAACAATTATAATAATAATAATATTATCATTATTAAACGGGGATGGGTAAGGAAAAAGTGGGGGGAGGGAGAGGAGGAGGAGAGAAAAGGAATATGGGGAGGTAGGGGGGGGGGTAAGAGAGCGAAGGAAGGGGGGGGAGGTTAAGGAGGAAGAGAGGGTAAGGGGGAGGGGGGGCAGATGCAGGACTTAAAGTAGGAGGAAAGGAGTGAAATTAAGGAAGATTTGAGAGAGAGAGGAAAGGAAGAACGGGGAATGGAGAGGGAGATGGAGAGAGAAAGGAAAAGGGAGAGAGGGGAAAAGAGACAGAAGGAGAAGGGTGAAAGAGGGAGATAGGAGGAGAAAAGTGGAGAGAGAGGGAAGGGAAAGAGAAAGAGGGAGAGGGAAGGGAGAGATGGAAGAGAGAATTGGGGAATGGAAAGATACATTTTTTATTATTATTTTTTTCTATATTAACTAGTTACTCTTATTTCCTTTTTTTCGTTCTGTGGAATTTCCGACAGTAATAAGGACAATTATGATAATAATAAGAAAAAAATATATAACACTTACGATGATGGTAATGGTTTTAATGATAATGATGGTGAAAGTGACCGTAGTAATAACAATAATGATGATAATGATAATGATAATAATAATTATAGTAAGTAATAATAGTAAGAGTAACATTAATGATAATAGTGATAATAATAATAATAATGTTAGAAAATATTAATGATACTAATGATACTCATGAGGATAATAATAATAATAATAATGATTATAATAGCAATAATTATAATGATAAAAATGATTAAAATAATGATAATAACGATAATAATGACAATAGTGACAATAACAACAATATTATTAATAATAATGATGATAATAATGATGATAATATTGATAATAATAATAATAATAATAATAATAATAATAATAATAATAATAATAATAATAATAATAATAATGATGATAATAATGATAATAATAGTAATAATAATAATATTGATAATACTGATGCTAACAATGTTAACGAGAGTGATAATATTAATAATGATAACACCAAGAACGATATTAAAAATACTCATAATAATAACAACAGTGATAGCAGTAATGACGATAATAATGATAGCGACTATCTAGAAAAAAAAATTATCATCCTCAGTTATAATTATTGTTGTTATTGTTCCCATTAGTGGGATTTTTTTCTTCGATTTGTTTCTGTCTCTTTATTCTTCAACTGTTTGTTTGTCTGAATTTTTCTCTCTCTCCACCTATCTATATCTTTTCCTTCCTCCTCCTTCTCTCTTTCATATCTTTTCGTCCCTCTTTCCCCTTTCTTTCGTTACTTCCCTGCCGTTTCTTTATTTTTTTCCTCCCTTTTCCATTTCCTTTCTCCCTACTTTATCTCCTTCTTTCTTTTTTTCGCTTCATCCTTGTCTCTCCCTTCCTACCTCATATTTCCTTTTCCTTCTTCTGTTCATCTATCTCTTCCTCTCTCCTTGCTTGTCTGCCTTCCCCCTTCCCTCACCCTGTTTTTCCTTCCTTACCTCCCGCCCTCCATTTATTCCTCTCTCCCTGCCTCCTCTCCTTGCTCACTGCATCCCTCCCTCCCTTCCTCCCTCTTTCCCTCCTTCCCTCCCATATTCCCTTCCTCCTTCCCTCTCTCCCTGTCTCTCTTCTTTCTATCCTTCCCTCCCTCTTTCCCTCCCTTCCCCTCTTCTTTCCTTGCTTTTCTCCCTTCCTCCCCCTCTCCGTTCCATCCCTCCCTCTCTCTCCCCTCCTTCCCTCCCTCCCTCCCTCCCTCCCTGCCTCTCTTCTTTCTATCCTTTCTTCCCTCCCTCTTTCCCTCTCTCCCCCTCTTCTTTCCTTGCTTTTCTCCCTCCCTCCCCCTCTCCGTTCCCTCCCTCCCTCTCTCTCCCCTCCCTCCCTCCCTCCCTCCCTGTTCCATTAGCGAATTTACACATGGATCATTCTTTCATAAATCTTTCTTGGAGCAAAATATGACCATGAAGCGCTTCCAGCTTCCATTCTTTTTATTTCTCTCTTTTTGTCTGTCTGTTCCTCTGTCTGTCTGTCTGGCTGTCTGTTCCTCTGTCTGTCTGCCTGTCTGTCTGTTCCTCTGTCTCTCTGTCTGTCTGTCTGATTCTCTTTCTCTCCATCCCCCCCTATCTCTCTCTCTTTCGTTCTTTCTTTCTCTCTCTCTCCTTTTTTTTCATGGCAAATTCACTTCCGTGGACGTGATTATCTGCCTAATGATGTTTAAGAGTTCAAAAGCGCTTTTTTGAAGCAGAGACAAAGTGGACGAGCGTGATGGAAACGGCTTAATAAACTGCTTTTGTACATGACCAAGTACGCTTACACAGGCCTACATACATGCATGTACACAGATACACCCGTTCACATAGACATAGAAGTATATACACATACACATTCATACACAGAGGCACATATATATTTTTACATTCACATGCACACACACCCACACACACCCACACACACACACACACACACACACACACACACACACACACACACACACACACACACACACACACACACACACACACACACACACACACACACACACACATGCCTGCCCAATAATGGAAATATATATATCATTTGGAAAATAAGATAACCGTTTATGAATATAAGAAACAGAAGGAAAGTAAAGATGAATAAAAGTTGAGATAAAGAGAATATGATAGAGAAAATATTCCGGACTGAAATTGGATTCACAGTGAGACAAATGTTGGCTTTTCTTTAGGTGTTATTCGAAGCAAGAAAATTGGGAAATTATTCTCTCTTCCTCTTTCTCTGTCTTTCTCTCTCTCTCTCTCTCTCTCTCTCTCTCTCTCTCTCTCTCTCTCTCTCTCTCTCTCTCTCTCTCTCTCTCTCTCTCTCTCTCTCTCTCTCTCTCTCTCTCTCTCTCTCTCTCTCTCTCTCTCTCTCTCTCTCTCTCTATCTATCTATCTATCTCTCTATATATATATATATATATATATCTATATATATCTCTTCTCTTCTCTTCTCTTCTCTTCTCTCTTTTTCTCTTCTCTTCTCTTCTCTTCTTTTCTCTTCTCATCTGCTCTCTTTCTCCCGCTTTCTTCTTTATGTTATTATTATCATTATTATGTGGCCGGGTAATGTCTTAAATTTGTCCCTGAATCCAATTTGGGTTCCGGTGCTTCTCAGGGAGGACAGTCATTGGCGCCCCTTCTTGTGTTTGGTATTTACAGTCATGGTCATAAAGTCTAAAATTGCTTGGCCTTGCGTGAGTTGCTTTTATGTAATTCCTTGAGATCACACAGATACACACACAGAGACGCATACATGTGTGGATGTACATCAAGGTACATGCACACGCACACACACACACACACAAACACACACACTTAGTTTATTGTAATTCACACTATTTGGATAATTTACGTTGTAGATCTTCAGCCATGAAGTATTATGCATCTTTAAGTAAATACATTTAAATAAATAAATGAATGAATATCTAAAAAAAAAGTACAAACCAAATAAAGAAGATGAAAATATATCGTCCACACACACAGACTCACACATTTTTTTGCCCCTAATGAAGACAGCGAAACATACAAACAAAGACAATAATCCAAACGAAGCAGAGACAACAAACAACAAACGAAATCAATAAAATGAAATAAACCAAATAAACCAAAGAAAATAAAGAAAATAACCCCCCGTCTTGTTCTCCCTTGCAGACCGCAGCGCCCTCCCGAAGCAGTCGCGGCCGGAGCTAACATGAGGGTTCACGCGGGCCTCTTGCTTCTCCTGCTGGTGCTTCCCGCCCTGGCCCTCGGCGGCAGGGCAGGCACCTCCGGGAGGGAGAGGGGAGGGAGGGGCAGGGGGGGCCGGGGGGGCAAGGGCAAGGACCGGAAGGACAGGAACCTCGACGGTGGAGCGGCGACGAAGGTGGAGGAGGAGGAGGTGGACGACGGCGAGAAGTGCGACGACAGGGCGCACTTGTCGCTGACGGAGAGGACGCAGAGCGCTCAGGTAAGAGGGGGGGGGGAGGGAGGGGGGAAAAGAGGGGGGGGGAGAGGAGGGAAGGAGGTGGTTGGGGGAGGAAGGGAGGGGGGGGAAGAGAGGGGGTGAGGAGAGGAGGGAGCGGGAGGAGAGGAGGGAGGGGGAGGAGAGGAAGGGAGGGGGTCGTTGGGGGAGGGAGGGAAGGAGGAGAAGGAGGGGAATATGGTGGAGAGGAAGGGAGGAGGAGAAAAGGGATGACTGGGGGAGGGGGAAAGGAGGAGGGGAAGGAGGAATTAAATTGAGATGAAGGGAAGAGAAGAGGAAGGAGGAGAGGAGAGAGATAATGAAAAGAAGAGAGCGATCAAGTAAGAGAAGGAGGAAACAGGTGGATAGGAAGAGAAGAGGAGAAAAAGGCGGAGGATAACTAGGGGAAGACGTGAAGGAGGAGAGGACTGGATAAGGAGAAGAGGAAGGATAAGAGAGGAGGAGAGAGGGAGAAGGGAGAGGGATGAAGGAAGGATGGAGAAGGAGGAAGAGAGGAGGGAGAGTGATAAAAGAAAGTGTAAAAGAATTTGGATGGAATTTGGATGGAAGGAAGTGTTAAGAAGGAGAAGATTAAGAAAGAAAGAAGGAGAAAGGAGGGAAAGAGGGATGGATGAGGATGAGGATGATGAGGATGAGGAAGGGGAAGAAAAAAAAGGAGAGGAGAGAGAGATAATGAAAAAGAGGGTGGATAGTGCAGGTGGAGAAAGGGATGGAAGACAAAGAAAGCTTGAAGGAAGGGGGGGGGGGGTGCTTAAAGGAAAGGGGAGGAGCTTGAAGGAAGAGGGAGGAGTTTGGAGGAAGGGGGAGGAGCTTGAAGAAATGGGGAGGAGCTTGGAGGAAGGGAGAAAAAAAAGAAGAAGGGAGAAAAAAAGAAGAAGGGAGAAAGGAAGGAGAGATAAGAGGACAAGGGGGGACATGAGGAAAAGAGGAGGAGTGGAGAAGAATTAAAAGAAGGGGGAGTAAGAGGGAATGAAGGAGAGAGAAGGAATGAGGGAGTGAGGGAAAGGAAGGAGGGGAGGGGAGAAGGAGGGAGAGAAAAGGAGGTGAGGAGTGAAGGTAAGAGGGAAAGGAGGGAAGGAGGGAGGTAAAAGGAGGGAAAGAGAAAGGGAAAAGAGGGAAGGAAAGAGGGAAAGAAGGAAAGAGAAAAGGGAAAGAGAAACGCAAAGGAAGGAAGAAGGGGGAGAGAAGGAGGTGAGGAGGGAAGGAGGGAGAGAAGAAGGGACGGAAGGAAAGAGGGAGGGGGGGGGGGAAGAGTCCATAATGGCCAACACTTTAGGAATAGATGTTTCAAGTTTGATGTGTTTTCCGTTTTCTCCAGAGACTACTCGAGGAAGGCTATAAAACAACTATTATTCTCCAGAGTAATAAATATACAAATAAGTAGATACTAAACATAAAGATGAGTAATCAACATTATCCCTTTTTATTACTTCGTACTGTATTTCATTTTCGAAAAAAAAAAATCTTTCTTCCCCCCTCCCCCCCCACACACATATATTCTATATAACTCAATTCAAAATCTAATCTCTTATGCTTGTAAAACTAGCTTCTCAAAACACTGGCATTAAAAATCAGTTGATATCATTTAAATGTCCCATTATTCGTATCATTGTTATGTCAACTGTCTTTGGGCGCATAATTGTATTTACTTAACAAGGCATTTGCCAAAAAATATTAAAATTACGTTTACTTAACAGAGGAAGATAAAATAGAGAGAGAGAGAGAGAGAGAGAGAGAGAGAGAGAGAGAGAGAGAGAGAGAGAGAGAGAGAGAGAGAGAGAGAGAGAGAGAG